TGATTTATTTTCTAGGTAAATAAAGCATGAGGCTTGGTGTGATGAGATGCTTCTTGAGGAGCTAAGCAGACTCAGACCGTGGAGAACCTCGTGTGCCCAGCAGGCTCAGGGAGGATACGAATGATGCTTGAGGAGATAGGAAGCTGTCCAGGCGGTCACAGCTAGTCCGTGGTGGAGCGTGTCTGCCTTGATCCGAAGCGAGCGCGTGTTCCTTGGCTTTCATAACCAACCAAGTAGAGTTTTCATTCATCACCTGACAGTTGTTTTTCCGCAGTTTCCTACAAAGTGAATAATTCTAAAGCAGGATCTCTTTTCCCACTGATGACCAGTAGATAATTTGACAGTTTTACAATAAATACCTTAGTTTCTGAATTCAGAATGTTTCATTGGTCACCCAAATTTGCTGCTGGTATTACCTGACCCAGTGGACCCGATACTGCCTCAGGCCATGTGCTCACGACCCTTGTAGCTTCCTTGTCCTTTGATGCTTCTCGAGGTTTTCGCCTCCCCTGCTGGCCCGGTCCCGTGTGCTTGTTGGGTGTATAATTGTCTCGTGTATGAGGAGCCCTTTGATTTCACCTACAGCGATCTCAGACATTTGCATCTTTTTCTCCAGTCTGGACATTCTTAGATTTAATAGAACTAATGTATAATGATCTGTTTGCACATTAACTGTTTGCCACATAACCTATTATGTGCATATGAATATTCTTAAAAATAAAGGATACTGATTATATAAAATGAAAGTGTTTGACTTTACTAAATTTTATAATTACTAAATTTTACATGGTTTTCAAAATAAGAATCATCTGTTCATGTTTGATTACTTGCACGTGTGTACTCCTTTAATTTTTTTTTTTTTTTTTTGGAAGGCACATGATTACCAAAAAATTAAAAATTACTGAAAGATTTATAACAACATGTTGTAATTCTCTCACTACTCACCACAATTCCCCTTCATAGGAATAACTACTTTCTCTTAGTGTCTTCTGATGTTGTTTATATATTTTCATGCTCTGCATAAAATGAGTATGCTGTTATCTTCCAATTCGTCGGTATTAGACATTGCCCGTTGACATCGTATTCTGGTAAACTTGTATATAGGGTGTGGCTTTCTTATGCACCATTCTTTTCCCTTCCTCATCATTGATATTTTTCCCCACTTTTTTTATTGTGGTAAAGTTCACACAGTGTAAAATTTACCATCTTAGCTCTTTTGATCATACAGTTCAGTGGTATTCAATACATTCGCATTGTTGCGCAGCCATCACACCATGATCCCTGCAACTCTTTTTACCTTGTAGGCTGAAACCCTGCACCCATTTAACACTTAACTCCCACTTCTCCCCTCACCCTGGCCCCTGGCAACCACCATTCAGCTTTCTGTCTCTATGAATTTGACTACTCTAAATACTTTATATAAGTGAAACCATCCAGTATTTGTCTTTTTCTGACTGGCTAATAATACTTAGGGATTTAATGTTCATAATGTTTATCCATATTGTAGCATCTGTCAAATGTCCTTTTTTCTTAAAGGCTGAATAATATTCTATTGTATGTATATACAACATTTCGCTTTCATCCATTCATAGATGGACACGAGTTGCTTCCATAGTTTAGTGATTGTGAATAATGCTGCCATGCACGTAGGTGTACAGATAATCTCTTTGAGACTCTGATTTCGATTTTTTGGGTATATTCCCAGAAATGGAATTGCTGGGTGATGCATTAACTTAATTTTTATTTTTTTGCTCTATTATGTTCCTCTGTTCCTCAGTGGCTGTGCAATCTCATCACTGAATTTTTAGATAAGCAGATATTCAGTGTTGACATTATTGTGCCTGTCTAAATATCATTAACAGCTGAGCACTGAGGTTTACTATAATTTTGTTTCCCGTTTGTTTTACCTAAAATTACTAATTGCTTTGTTTTCATATGCTTAGTTTTCTTTGCGCCTGTTGCTAATTCTTTAATTCTTTCCGCGTTTTGCGATGGCCTGACAGTACAATTTCCCACAAAGCCAGTCGCATTAAGCAGTCTGTCACTTCTAATGTGTTTACTTGGAGGCACGCTTTCTAGGTCTGCTGCACAGCCGTCATCCGGAGTGTCTGTGCCTTCCTCCTAGCCTGACATTTCCATTTCCTGGATCTCATGGGTTTTTGTTTCGTTGGGTTTTTTGGTCCTATTTTGGGTTGTTTTCTGCTTTGTCAGGGTGTATCCTTTAGCACGACGACAGCCGCATCTGGTCCGGTTTGGATTCCCCAGCCGCTCTCGGCGTCTCCGTCAGCGTGACAGCTCGCCCTGTGCTGCTCCTGTTTTCATGCTTCTCGTAGCTTCTTTCCGGGTTTTCAGACCGAGTTTCGTGGACAGGCCCTTTGTAGCTTCTTGAAAAATGATATTTGGGAGGTAATTTTCAAGACATATTAGAAATAGATTTTCATGATTCTATAAATGCTTATTATAAAATACTGCAATAAAGACCGAGAAACACGGAGCTATAAAGACTGCTCCTGCCCAGGGTGAGTTTACAGACTAGGTGGGCAGACAAGAAATCTCTGTAATGCAGTTAAAGTAAAACTTGAGAGTGAAATAAGGTCACAGTCCAAGGGCTTCCCCAGGATACCTGTGAATCATTTCTGTATAAAGAGGCGTACTGACCTTTCATGAACTCAGAGCAAGGAAACCTAATTGGCCTGAGATGTTTTGGAGGAGACAGTCATTAACCTTTACAGGATTGGTAGCATTTTGATAAGTGGAGGTGGTCAGAATGGCATTTATATGTGGATATAAAATTTTTATGTGGACATGATACTAAGAATATTCTAGAGAGAAAGGAACATCCACCTTGACCTGAGCAGTGTCAGAGAGAATTGGGGGTAAAGCTGGACGAGTACATTAGTGGTAGACTGTGGAGGGCGCTGAGTGCCAGGGGCAGCGCTGTGGATTTATTCTGTGGGCAGCCAAACACTGCTGGAGGTTTTGGTACGTAACTGCTGAGATGAGGTTGCTGACATTCAGAATGTCATGTAAATGGACTTGTGGTATGTAGCTTCTTTCACTTAGCAGAATGTGTTTGGGATTCCGGCCAAGCTGTTTGACTTACCTGTAGTGGATCTCCATTGCTCAGCAGTATTCCGTTATACGCACGTACCGCAGCTCAGCTTTCACCAGTGACGACTTCTGGGTTATCAGTTTGAGGCCAGTACGAAGAAAGCTGCTATGAACATTGGCATGTGGGTTTTGTGTGGACATGTTTTCATTTCTCTCGGGTAAATACTTAGAATTGCTGGATTGTATCTTAAGTGCACGGTTAACTTTATTTAAAAAAAATGCCAGACCGTTTTTCAAGAAGACTGTCCCGTTTTCCTCTCCTGCTGCAAAGTGTGAGAGTTGTGGTTACTCTCCATGTTCACCATGTAGTCATTTTTAAAGCCATTTTAATAAGTAGCAATATCTCATTGGGGTTTGAATTTATGTTTCTTTGATGGTTAATGATGCTGAATATTTTTTATGTGCTTACTTGCCATCCATGTATCTTCTATGATAATGTGTCTGTTGAAATCTTTTACCCATTTTTTTAAAAGAATGTTTCTATTGATGTGTAAAAAAGATAACTATTCATCATAAAGTCAAAGAATTTGGACAAGTACAAATAAGAAAGTAAACCACCTTCAATCGAAACATCCAGAAATAACAATATTAATATTGACTCAACATGCACATAGACGAACAGGTGGATGGATGGTGATGAGTGGATGGATGAGTGTGTGGACAATTAGAAAATGTATATAAATGAGATAGCACACTTGCTAATTTAAAAAATTGTGATATAGTTTATATACCATTAAATTCACCATTTAAAGTGTACAAATACATGGCTTTTAATATATTTATCATGTTGTAAAACATCAGTACACTCTAATTTTTGTACATTTTATCACCCCTGAAAGAAATCCACCACTCATTAGCTCTTGGTCTTCATCCCCGCCCCCCTCCCCGCAGTCCGAGTCAGTAGTTGATCGGCTTTCTCTCTCAGGGTCTGTCTTCTTTCACAATGTTTTCTAGCACAATGTTTTCAAGGTTCATCCATGTTGTAACATGGATCAGTACGTCATTCCTTTTTATGGCGGAATATTTCCCGTATGAGTATATTACATTTTGATTATCAATCCCCCTCTCAAATTGATGGCCATTTGGGTTGGTTTTACTATTTTACTGTTATAAATAATACTTCTATAAACATTTGCATATGTGTTTTTGAGTGCACATATGTTTTCAGTTTTCTTGGGTTTAAATAGCTAGGAGTAAAATTGTTTATACTTATTTTTTAAATTGAATTGTTTTCTTATTATGGAGCTCTAAGGTATATAAAATTTTAAAGGTTGAGTTTACAGGTGTGTGTATTTCTTAAACCGTGCAACTCCAGGATGGTTCTGTTTTAATTTTAATGTAGATTTAATGAGTGGTTTATAAAAGCTTCATTATCCAATGTCTTCTGAAACTAATATTATTAAATCAACTTGAAGAACCAATTTGTATTCATCTGAATTGTTGAAAATGCATAAAGTCAGCCCTTTAAATTATTTTTATCTTATAACTTTCTTCAGCTATTACTTCTTCTAGAATTCATGTAGTCACTTACTGTGTGCATATTTATTGGCATTGCCTTCTGAGAGTCAGGCATTATATTAAGGTATTGAAAGGAAACATGGGAAATAACATACAATTACGAGTTATAAAATGTATTCATAATTATTTTATGATATGCATGTGATTTTTGTTTATAGTTACGTCTCTCTTCCTCGCCCTCTTCTCACAATTCACATTACTGCTCCATTAAGGATTATTCAAGACACACCTATGAATACATCTCCCAGTTACGTTAGGTTCTTAAGTAGATGAAGGTCCTTTGAGGCTGCCTGCTGATTTTTTCTTTGGTGTGTGTGTGATGAGGACTCACACTGAGTAATGGAGCTGGGCTGTCTCGTTGTCCCTTGCAGCATCGCTGACAGACAGAGTGCCTTGGAAGCTGAGCTGAGGACCGTGCAGGCCTCTCGCAGGGACCTGGAGAACTTCCTAAAGTGGCTACAAGAAGCAGAAACCACAGTTAATGTGCTTGCCGATGCCTCTCAGCGGGAGGATGCTCTTCAGGACACTGTCTTGGCCAAGGAGCTCACACAGCAGATGCAGGCAAGTGCCCGGGAAAATGTGCCCAGTATCCATTTACCATTCAATTGTATCACCATTCAGAGGGGAGGTTGTCACTTTATTCCGTTATAATACCCATGCTCGCCTGTGAATAATTGGTTTCTGGAAATGAGATCTATAAAATACATTTACTTAATAATTGGGGGAAACACTTTGTTTTATGGAAGTAATAATTGTTTATTTAGATATCTAGGCTCATAGTTATTCTGTTTTCTGTCATTTTAAGCCCCGTTAACAGTTTGCCTTATTGAATCTTACATTATAAGAACATTCCCTCTTAATATGTTGTTGTTTCTGTCTCCATTTATTATAAATACTTAATATAAAAGCTGTAAAGACTCTGTGGCTTAGTTTACAATGAAGAATGTTGGGCTGGAAGGTATTAGTTTTATATTTTTAGCTTCATAAATATGATATATTCAGTCTGAAGGTTCAAGTTTTCCTTCTACACAAAATGTAGTAATATGAAATCTTTCTTTTAAAAAATGTATGAGGAATCCTATGAAGCATATCTGTATCCTCTTCCGTCTTCAAGTACAAGTGGATCAGTGTCCTTGAACTTCCATTTTCTTTGTGTAGAATAACCTACTCTTGCCAATCACGAGCCTTCTCACTTGGAACTTGCTTTAAAATCTGTTTTGATGGAGAAGTCAGTCTCCTTGTTAACTGTCTTATATTTTAACCCAGTGGCAATGGGGAGAAGTCATTAAAAGATACTAAGAGAGTGGTGCAGTGGGATTTGCATTCTATAGGAATCTAGCTGATAGAATTATGAGGAATGTGTGAACTGGGCAAGACTGAGCAGAGCAGTCTGTCGGATATGCTTGTAGCCAACTGGTCAGAGGTGATGATAACCTGATGACTTCATAGTATGGGTCCACTAAGGGACAGGGAAAAGGTAGAGACAGAAGATTGTCAGGTAGTATTCAAGCCTGAGATTGGGGATATAAGGGAAGAAAGTCAGGACAGCAGTGCAAGGTGATGGATGGTACGTTCCATTTGGACTATGTTGAAATGAGGCATTTGAGTAACATCCAGGAAGAGATGCCTGGTATGTAGTTGTCACTTTGGATCTGTATTCAGATGAGAGACGTTAACCAAAGATACGAAAACTTTATGTTGTTTCTGAATGGAAGTCTATTATTGACTTCCCAGTTTGTCTCTTAATTCAAATGCATGTATTCATGATTTTCACACCCACATTCTAACACATTATCATTTTAATTATTTTTTAAAAATGTGAGCTTTAGAACTGGCCAGTTTGGTTCAATAGTTAGAGCATCGGCCTGCGGTCCAAAGACCTGGGTTAGGTTCCCGCTAAGGGCACATACCTTGGTTGCAGTTTGTTCCCAGCCTGGTTGGGGTTGTGCGGGAGGCACCCACTCTGTGTGTCCCTTTTACGTCAATGTTTCTCTCTCTCTCTTCCTCTCTCTCCATCCCACTCTATCTGAACAAAAAAACCAAAAAAACAAAAAAAAAAGGAAAAATGTCCTCGGGTGAGGATAAAAATAAATAAATAAATAAATAAATAAATAAATAAATAAATAAATAAATGTGAGCTTTACATTTTAACAGTACCTTCTCAGTACCAATGAGCTGAGATGCTCCAATTCTCTCCTGGGTAAAATCTTGCCCCCTGCTGCTTTTCTGGGTTGTATTATAACAGGTGGCTATTTCTGCTCTTTATTCATATGTGTTTGGGCCTATTATATTTTCATCTCCTGTATTCTCTTTCAGCCCAGTTTTCATCCTCTTGTTCTAAAGGTTCAGACTTTGACTGTGTAGATAGTTTCAACTCTTCCCCTGTACCCAGCTCCATACCCAGCATAGTATTTGGGGGGACATACATACCTGTATTGTAGAAACTTCCCCTGCTGGTTTAGGGACAGGAATGACAACTTCATTTTTTTTAATAACAGTTTTATTGACATATAATTCATATGCCCTACAATTCAGCCATTTAAAAAGTACAGCGTAATTGTTTTTTGTATATTCATAGTTGTGCAACCATCATCACAATCAAATTAGAACATTTTCGCCACTTCTAAAAGAATCCCTATACCCTTAGCTATCAGTCTCCCCTTTGCAATTCCCCAATCCCCTACCCCTAAACAAGCACTAATCTACTTTCTGTTTCTGCATATTTGCTTAATCACTTAATATTTTTAACTGTATCACCAATTGACTACCTGTTCCGATTTTGCCTTTGTTGTTAGAATATCCAGAAGGAGGCAGTATAGGTTCTCAGGACAGACTGACAGGGGAAAAAGCAAGACCCAAGCAGAAGCCCACCAAAACACTTCTTGACAAGCACAACTCCATGAGACCCAGTAGCGGACTTTAAATCAGGACAAAATCAAGGACTGAGAAGGCAGAAGAAGTAAAACAAGAGAAACACCTCCTTTAAATACTGTGTTTCTTTGAAAGAATCATGATAATAGTAGAGAAAAGTGAAAATGCATATTCCCTGGGTTATTAGTTTGAGCAGGACACTGCTGATGAGAGATGTCTGGGTTCTATTTTTGGCTGTGCCCTTTGACTCAGTCATTTCATCATTCTGGGCTATTTTGCTGATTTCCTAATAGTGCTTCCCCCCACTGGATATTTATGGTGGTCTTCAAGCTACAATTTGAGAAAATGTATCTGAAATTATACATATGCCTATAAAACTAAGAATTTCTGTACTTGGTTTTTACATCATATAACCATGTCTTGTATTTCTTACTCGTTAAATTTAAACAGCTTTATGACAGATAAAATGAGATCATGAAGATGCTGTCCAAGCAGCAGTGTGGTAATTTGGACTATTCAGTAGTGAGTTACAGACTTTTTGTTTTATTAACTTTGCTGTTTAATTGCAGGAGCCCTAACCTAACATTAGAATTTCACTGCGAATGGCTTCCGTCCTAGGTAGCATCTGTGACTCTGCTTTTAGGGCGTCTAGGTAAAGCCACATACCCCCTGCAGGTATTTTTGTTTTGTTTTGTTTTAGATGATCTTGTTCTGAGACCTGTCGGGAGGTGATTTATTAGCACTTAACCGATAGGCTGATATCATTAGAGTCAGGTACCCTTCTGCTGTTCTCAAGATTTATCACGGAGTCTGTTCACTCATCGCACAGAGCACGGCCGGAGCTGCATTCAGTCCGGTGGTGAATGCATCCCTCTGTACAGTGAGGGAGTGAATGCTACTTGATCTCTTAATATAAACGCGCTAGGAGGCATGCACCGTGGTGGTGATGTGTTGAATCTCTCTTCCCAGGGGATGTCTGCTTTGTATCTGCAGCTTTAATGTTTCACTTAATATCGTTTTTGGCTACGGAGCGCACTCCTCTCCAGCAGCAAGCAGCGTTTGGCTGCTCAACTTGCTCCGTTTCCTGGCCAAGCCGGGCTGAGCAAGTGCTAGCTGTGAGCATCTGCTGGGGGGCTTTCTGGGTGGCGTTTGCATATGTTTTTCAAATTGCGAAGAACTTGAAGGAATAGCAGCCTCCTTTTGCCAAGAACCTGAGCCCCTGTATCTTTCAAATGCATTCCTGGAAACGAGCATGCTCAGAGAACTGGCAAATCATTGTCCAGTGACCAGGAGGAAATGATCATTGCTCTTCATTTATAATGCAAATTCTGAGGTGTCTGCAGAAGTGTGGTAAACTTAAAATGATGGCTGTGGTGAGAACGTCTCTGCAGAAAGTTGTGGTTTTGTTACATCGTTTACAAAGGATGGCAGTTTCTTCTCCTCGGTATCAGAAGCTCTGTAAGGTAACTAGTGATTGAAAATAAGGGTCTCTGGGTGTCTGACAATTCTACTGTTTCTCAGGCTCTCAAAACTATCCTTTCAGGGTCCTTAGCAAGGAAAGACTCCTTTCCTTAGTGACAGTGAAAGCTGTTAAAGTGAATTGCTAATTAAATTTTGTTTAAGTATCAGGAGCAACTACTGTTTTGTGCTTATTTTATTTTGCAACTGACAAAAATCTTGTCTTCTGAGAAGGGCTAGGAAACTGTTGGAAGAAAATACAGTAAAACTATATTCACCAAGACCTGTTACCTCTGTAATACTTGGCAGTGTCCTAATATTGAATGGCACGTTAGCCGTATGGAAATTGCAGTAAATTTAATATAATCTTTCAGGGGGTTACTTAAAAACTGTCCATCTTTTTATAGCTAGTTGTTTTTGTCTATTTGAAAAATTAAAACACATCTTGAAAACTATTAGACTTACTTTCATCATACAATATCCCTTATATTCGTGAATCTGCGTGTATTACAGTTTAACTGAAAGAATTTTATTCAGACAGGGGGATTAAGTTCACTTTTAGTGGGCAACTCCTTTGACAGCTGCAAATTTCAGATACCACGTCATCCTAAACATAAACCATTGAGTGAGCGAGCGCCTGGATTTTTTAAAGTTAGCTATTATATTTTTGATCATTGTTTTGTTTACTTAAACTATGTTTATGCTGTCTCATTACTTTTGTTAACAATTGGAGCAGTGTGATATCAAAGGAAGGAATTATAACAGGAATGTTAAAGCAATTTATTTTGTACCTCAGTACAATATTCTTCATGTTATGTTCTTAGTGTCATATCTAAGAATGTAACTTATTGTCCCCTTAGCTGCCCAAACTCAATTGTAATCAGAACAACTGTCTCTAGGACAATGTTATGTTTATGATGATATAAACTGTGACATGTCCAAACACCCAAACTGTGCATAATATATGGCAGCAGATTGGGGGGTGGGGGAGGGAGACAGTATTTTATTACTTTATCGTATATTTTTATTTCTTACAGTTTGATCAGTTAAATATATTTCTGTCTGAAAACTTATTTTCTTTGGAAAGTTTTAAGAGGGATTAAGGTAGTGGGGTATTTGCAGAAATACTTAGAAGTGTTGCATTGCATAAGACGTTGATTAAAACTTAATGACTTAATAGTTAATTGAGTTGTAAAAATTTGTAAATTAATTATTTCAGTATGTTGTCTTTT